TCAACTAAAGGGCTAATGATAACCATCAGAACGCCTGCCACTTATATAAATAAATATTGGTTGTAATTAGATGCAAATGCATCAAGTTAGCTTGATCAAAAATGTGATTTAATCGTTCAGTCAAGCATGGTTGAATATTGCTGACAAAATCCTGGTCAATAATCTCATAGTTATATGATAAAATATGGAAATAATTCATTATCACCATGACGGAATCATTTAAAAAATGAGGTTAAGGCAACTCAGTGCTTCTGTAATTGAAAAAAATAGTACTTAAAGGCCTTTCTTTGTCAGCCCAGTTTTAATCACATCTTGAGCATCATACGTTAATGAACTCACTTATAACTTCTTTATCATTTGCTAGAACTAAAAACTGCAAAATTATTCAATATCATATTAAGTTAATTCCTTTCTACCTGGTAAAAGGTGATCATAGCTATTCGTTAACACACGTTTTTAAAAAAATGGCGACGCGTCAATTTCTGCGTCATTTGGGCATTTATTCCCTTGCATGACCTCGAGGTAAATGCAGTCAGGCAAATAAACGCTCCCTATCCTGGAGTGGGAGGGAGGGAGAGAGGGGAGTTACCACTATGTTCGCATTCAGTTTAGCTAATCTTTCATGAAATGCGGAGTCAACAACATTAGTATTATCTCGGTTACACCCATGCACAGGTAAAATTGGTTTCGGCCAATTAGTTGAATGCTAACGAACAAAGTACAAATTCTACAAGTATTTAGACTTTTACTTCATGCTGATGCAACGCAATTTAGAGTGCTTTCTTACTTTCAAAAGTTAATAGTGCAAAACTGCGTATTAGGAAATATTTTAATTTAGTGAGAAATCAATTATTTTCTTATTTATGTCTGGACAATAGGCTTGTGAGTCGGCAAAAAATGGAGACTCCCCTTACCCACCAGCCAACCAGACAATCAATCATCTCACCTCAACTACCTCCCTTTTACTCACTTCCATTTCTGCTCTCATTTCGTCCAGAGTTGGATTCGCATAATTTTTCTAAATGCAGAAATTCGCCCTAAGTCACATAGATTCCGGCTTACAGAGAATCTACGATCCCTTACTCACAGTTTTGCCTTCATAACTTATTTAAGTCAGGGTTCCTCATTTCGTTCTTAATATCGCAATTGCTGATTATTTTCATTAGGAAACTTTGTTGAGAGTTGCGTAAACAGGTTGTAATTTACCCCGAAATGAGGGCAGTTGCCAACTCTTCACCGGGTTTCTTGCCAAAATAACGAAATTACTTATTCATCTAATAGAAGATAGTAGATTACCCAATTGTTTGTTTTATCAATACGACGTAGCTATTTTTATTGGTATGTCAACTGGGCCGAGGTAGCTACTAATTATTTTTAAAGAGAATCCTCTTGATCACACCAGTTTATCACTAGATGATCGTTTCGTAACTCATCATAACCTCATCTTTCTTTGGTTTCGCCACTCAATGTAAAATAAATAAAATAAAAAATGAAAAAGAGTCAATTTAAATGCATAATTTGTACGGAAGAGTTACGAATGAGATGAATTCCGGCTGATACCAATTTTTTCATCTTAGCATGCGTTGAGTTCATTTTTAAGGAGTAGTGGATTATGAATTGATTCTTACCAGTCTCCACCCATTGATTTTTTTAAAAAATGCTAATTACTCTTTGTTTGCTTTCGATAACTACTTTATTCTTTCTTAAACTAATTAGATATTCGCAAATAAAGCTTCATACCCCTCTGATATCAACTGCCATATGAAATGACAGAAGTTTAATTAAATCTGGAATTGCTTTATTTTGTAGGATAAGATAAATAAATAATTGTTGTTAATTTCCACATTTATGATGGAATTGAGAGTTTCAGAATAATGTAGATATAAACGAATCAATTATCTCCTTCAATTCTACTATAAAATTACAAAATTTGCATTTGATCTGAATACATGCATATTCTTCGTGCACGTGCACATACAGACATAATGCCTCGTTAAGTCTGTTCGAATGTGTTTAAGGGACATTGAGGCCAATAAACACCTTGTCTTCCCTTTTCTAATTAATTAATTAGCTAATTAATCTGAAAAATTCGATATTAACCGAAATTGGACACATCGGAACAAACAATCTCATCTCATTAATGGAGATCTTTATCAACCTACCTCAATTCTCAAAATTATTACAATTTTGTTCCAAAATTTTTCTCGACTATTTTAAAGTAATGCTCAGAGTCCATTGAACCACATGTTTGTTGAAGATTCAGGGTATTTTCTCTATATTACGTTTGTACAGCGTAATTTAAGAATTATGAAGAAAAGATGTGGTCCCAATTAATTCATTGGATAGAAAAGGAGGAGATTTCAAAATTGAGTTGAAGAGGTTTTCAGTTAGTTTACTCATTTGATCCATATTTAAATACTCCGGCTTTAAGTTGCTTGCTCATTTTACAATTCTACCTAACTGAGCTTTACGCCTCTCTTTAACTGCTTTCGACGTAGTGACTATAATTTTCTTTTTTGCTGAGATTCTCTCTGTCATTCTAGCTCCAAGGCAAAATATTTAGAATCAGGAAGAAAACAAAGTGTTGGGATTTTCTCTCGTGTGGAAGTTTCGTTAGGACTCTATGCTTTCGCCTCAGTTATACCAAGTTTAGATGAACACTGTTAATGATCATTCTCCTCAATTTGTGATCTAAGGGAAGTGAAATTTGTGAAGCTCATTGATGAAAGGATTTAAATATTTCTGGTTTGGAAAAAGGGGGGGGGGCGAAGGGGAGAAGTACTGAGAAAGTATCTAAAAATGCGCTTTTATTAAGACCAGCTAAAACTAAGAAATCCATTAATGACACTGGAAAAAACCATCGAAAATCAATTATTTGATCTTCGACTTAATTGAATCTGCAATCTACGTGATCTGCCTTCTAATTGTTTTTCGATCCCGGTTCCCTCAAGACCTAGCATCAGCTGGTGACCTATAATTGGATTAATATTCTCTTCCTTACTTAGCCAAGCGCACCAATAATCAAAACACTTATGTTTTTTCCCATAAATTTAGGCAATGAAGAATGATCTAGCTCACGTTCAACAATGATCGTCCCGGTAGAAAAAATGATCGAATAATTCAGTACACAAATCGATTTAAATGAAGAAAAAGTTTACTCTAACATAACTTCCGGAATGATTTTTGGGCAAAGCAAGCTACACCCTCCCTTTTTAGCGTTCCTTTCAAATTATATCCTAAAATTAGTAAACATTGAGATAATTTGTCACAACAAATTTAGAAATTTTCACTAATCCAGTGCTTTCTACCCGTCGTTTTTAATGCCAAGTTGTACAAAAAATTTCATCTTTCTTAAATCAACTTACGATGAAAATGCTGCCGGTCGCATATCATTGTCCTCTGAGAAGTAGTAGTAATAGAGCTGATGAAGACCACAGGCAAACGAGGTGATTACAAGGAGGAATATAAACAAGAATTTGGTTATATCGATGAGCATATTTCCCAAGGAGATCTGGAGGGGCCCCAATTGTTCATTAACCTAAAAAAAGACAATTCAATTTTGTAAAAACCATTAAAATTCTTGGCGATTGGTGACTGTCAATCAATTTTGCTCAAGATATCAGGCATGCATCTGCAAAAAAGTTAGAGTAAGATTCCCTGAGAGAAAATAACACTCCTAGAAGCTAATTTACCTGGAATAGGAAAATGATTCTAGCAAAAGAGAAGATATGAGCAATGGCAAAGAATGCTTCAGCCAGGAGGGTTGGATCATCTGGTGGCCAGTTTTCTCGACCGGTTAATTCGAAACCATAGCGTCCTGTTTTGCGGAGAATTAGCCCCACAACACGAAGGCCAACCGTGGTGAGAAAAAGTGTGAGCATTATAAAATCGAGCCAATTCCACCATTGACGAACGTACGCCTTAAAGCCCTCCTCCCAGATTTGCTTCATCTCGCTCCATACAAAACCTGAAGGGTAAGTATTAATGAGGGAATGCCAGAGTTAGAGAGAAAGAGAGAGACGAATGAACAATAAATTCATTGCAGCACTGTTAACAGTTCATCCACTGCTAGTTACGAATGCGCAGAATTCGACGTTTCTGCTTGAGAAGCCATTAGAAGGTCTAAATTATCAATAAACTTATTGAGACCCCTGTAACAGAGTGCCATAAAAAACACCTATTCAATAAAAAAGAAAGTGGAAATATGTTGATTCACTAATGTCTTCAAAGTATGTTGGAGCAGCACGCAAAAAAATAAGTGGGACAAAGTGTACATCCTGAAACACATATGGGACAAAATCCAGGCCATAGGAAAATGAATGAATTTGCAATGACCAGATCCGTAACATTTTTTCGGCATATATCTACAATGCGTTATTTCGTGAATACTCAGTGCTACACATGACAATCACTCAAGTAACCCGAATTTGATCGATTTATGTCAAATACACCTGTTCACTCCATGAGTACATGTGTTCTAATTGGTCGATAGAAAGTATAAGGCCACCACCCCCCCCCTCCCTGAGAACTCAATCTCACGAGTCACTGTAACTCCTCAAACTTCTGGAACATCGCTCTGTGCTCAGCAAGGATGTACAAGCCACACACACACACACACACACTCTCTCTCCCTTATCTTTATCTCCCTGTGCAGTGAAGATTGAAGGGGGGAGGGGGTAAATAGGGCGGCTTTCCAGCGAGAATTTCTGCGTCAAGCTTCAATTTATGAGTCGACCTGATTTTGTGCATTTTTGACGCTTTTTTGGAATATTTATTGGACCTATTGGCTAGGCACCAGAGAGCGACGTTACTTGTGGTTGATGTTTACCAATGTTCTGACTATTCGTCTTGTACTAGAATTTGAACAATTTTGTTTTAATTATGAGAAATATATTTTATTTTAACTCTACTAGCACATGCCAGTTTGTTTTTAAGCCTTATATAATTTACTGATATAGTGGTGAAATGATTCGAAGTGCAAAATAAATTAATTGCGAAAGATTATTACGAATGAGATTTTATCAGTTGAATCCCAAATTTTACGTAAATCTCATTTAATTACTTATTAATGAGCGCACGGTGGACAATTTTAAATTATCAAACGTTGCACCGTTTGCAATATCGGAGGAACAGTATATATAGCATAAATTCGGGTGAAACCTGGGCAATGTATACTCATACGGCCAAAAAGTCCATTAACTGGCAGTTGACTTCTGATTTCAAACTACCATCACCCCACTGTGTGTCATATTCGACTACTTCCACAATACTCACCTCACCTTCTCTTTACCTTTATGTCTGTCTGTCTGTCTCTTTTACACCTGTGGATCTAGAAATCTGCTAAAGAGCTAATGATAGCTGTCAAACCGCCTGTCATTTGAAATAAATTAATGTATAGTATAGTATTCAAAAGTAATCAGGCTCTCAACCAGTGGTATGCACATTATGATTCCAACTTGGATCACAAATCCATTTTAGTTAATGTATATCCTGTATTCGACATGATCACTCACACTGATTCAACCTGAACTTCGAGGTGTGAGCTAGTCTTCACAAGTGCATCATGATTTCTTTTATTCTGTGCTCAAAACAAATGTTTGGAATACAATTGCTCAAAAATATCTTTACAACTTGGGTTGAACCATGCCTTTCGAAGTTGTGTGTTGATAAATATTTTGGCTTTTGCAATAGTTCTTTTTAGATTCAGTTAGAAACAGCTATAATAACGATAATTTTTACAGCTTTCACATCGTGCATAATGCGTGAATTAAACGGGGAGATTTATGGTGCTCCAGCCCAATAAGCACAAATATCTACGAAGGTGTATTTGCGAAATGAATATGAAAGGACAAATATATGCTAATATTTATTATTTATTTATATCAAATGGCAGGCATTTTGGTAGTTATCATTAGCCATTTTGTTTATTTCTGGCTTCACAGAGGGGAAGGAACATCAAAGTGAAAAAAAGTCGAGGGGGGGGGGAACAGAAGAGTGTTTCAAAGATGTAAAAGAGACAGACACAAAGGTAGAGAACATGTGTGGTGAGTACTATGAAAGTTGTGGAATATGACATACAGTGAGGTGATGGTAGTTTGAAGTCAGAAGTCAACTGCCAGTAAGTAGACTTTTTTGCCGTATGAGTATACGTTGCCCAGGGTGCACCACGTGGAGGTAAGTCTATCGCACACCCTTAAATGCTAATATTATATATATATATATACCGATTACTAATCTCCTTGAGTTGCCACAGCTTAGTGAATTCGGCAGGATAAAATTAATACTTGAACAATATTTTAAAATGTTAAGACATCATGTGGCCTTGAATGGCATGACCAGTCATTATGCCAGCAAATAACTCGACAATACCCCCCACCCCCAAATTTTTGTGGCTATTCAGAGAACAAATTATCCGTTTGGTGCTTTGACGTTGATCTGAACGACATTTTCCGTCCCTCAGTATTTAGTCATTTGTTGAAACATAATCAGCTGCCTCTGTGGGGCATGTTATCGCGTTGTTCGTCATCGTATGTCTGCATGTCAGCTTGCCAGGATTGGGAGGTGCTGCCGTTCAACTCTGTGTGCAGCGACCGTACAAACAGTGGCCAATCACTAGAACTCTGTGTGCAGCTACCGTACAAACAGTGACCAATCATTAACCTCTGTTTAACCCGTACTGAATAAATGTGCCCCGTGCTACACGTCTGTTTCCTTTATAGCTGGCCTACAGCTTAGCTAGCTCTGGGAGTCTAGCAAGATGTAGGAGAATCTGCCAAAGAGATTTCTGAGTCAGATGTCGGAGAATCTGCCATAGAGATTTCTGAGTCAGTCAGAGGCTTTTAATAAAGTAGCAATCCGCCACAACTTTAACTCAATTAATGCAACCTGTGTCTGAATGCAAAAAAAACATTTTTATACCTTGAAACCGCGTAGAGTCTCCCTTAAA